GCTTGCGCGCTGATGACAGTGCGAAGCAGCGGCTTCAAACGGAGCAGTAATTGGACATTACTCCTGCAGAGTGAGGCTAAAAGCATCTCTGCCAGTCTTTGTGCTGACATTCCTCTTTTACTCTCATCACACTCCTCTCCATTTCCCCTCTGTTCTGGCCAGCACTCCTTTAATTGTAATGGCCTTTCTGGGAGTGTTAAAAGCAGCTCAGAGACACTGGACATCACTTAAAAATACAAAGCAAACCTTTGTCATTTACACCCCCTGAGCTCTGCCTCTGTGTGTGTGAATGTCTTCACAATAAAAGCTAATGAATCCACACTGATCAGTTTGTGTGTGCCAGCCATTTTACCAATGAGTGCGATATAATTTGCGACCGAAATGAAGATATTTGTGGTGTGGAATTATGCAAACGTGCGGTGTGTTTGTGTGGGGAAAAAGAGGAAGAGCGCCATTTAAATAATCATTACAACGATCTTTCCTATTTAGGATGCTGGGATGTATCTGTGTTAATAATGTAAGGCTGGATTTAACAGCGCACCGGTTGCTTTGTGCTATCACCATTAGGGCCACGCTTTAATTTTTAACGAGGAGGAAACAAACTCTTACAGCTTCACTAACATTAACAAATGACTACGGGGTCGAATTCCACCAGTCAGCACAGAGCCATCAGTGCGGAGTGATCAGCGTCACCGGTCCACTTTGAATTATTCCGTTTTCAGGGATCAATCATCAGTCACGGGGCTGATTGTTGTGACTTAAACTGTAAAAGCAATCTGTCTGTCTTTATCTGAGGGCTAATACTCTGCGTGATAAATGTAAAGTAACTGCGAGAGTGAGATTAATTTCCCAACCAGGGGAACAAGGGGTTCCATTAACCTCTGGGCAGCGAGAACCCTCAACTTAATTGGATAATTTTGAGAAGACAACCTTCATGAAGCTTTACAGGCTGGTGGAAAAGCTACAGCAGCTTTCTAGAGTCGCCACAGAGCTAAAGGGTTTGGGGACGCAAGGGCGTGACGATTAATCACTGCTAGAGAGCAGCAGTGTTGTGTTTGTGATCCTGAAAGACTTCTCACCATGAATGAGAAGAAAACTTAAATAAGAAACAAACTAACATTCATTGTATCCTACGGAGTCCCTGTAGATTTGTGAAGTTGAGCTATGTGCTAGCTAGAATTTAATTAAAAATATTTTAAAAAATTAATCGAGCATGAATCAATTTAATTGAATTTAATTTAAAAACATTCTTTTCATAAAACATTTTTTCAAAAATAAAATGGAAACTTTAAATCTGAAGAATTGTGTTGCCTTGAAAACAGTCTTTAAAAAACTAGTACAGAAAATTCTCATTGGTTGGTATGAGAAAACAGTTGCAGTTTGTTTTCCATGGTAACAGAGAGGTGAAAACACTCACACAAATTTACTAAAAGACAATTAACAAAATGTGAAACACTTTTACAAACTGTACACATTTTCAAGTGGCAAAACAAATTTTACCAATAATACCAATCAGTAAACATATCACACAGTGGATAATGCTAACGCTGAATCTAGGGCTACTGCTGTCGTGAAGCAGTAGTTAATTTTGGTACCTTAATTTGTTTTGGTATTTTTTCTAATACTTGTTCATTTTTGTAGCTGTCAATTTGTCTTTGTTTAGGTACTTGAACATTTGTCTCATCAGTTGTAAATGTGTTCCAGCAATTGTAAATTTGTTGTTTGTAGTACTTTCAAGTTTGTTTTAAATTTTTTTAAGGTGTTGTGGTATTTTCAAATTTCTCTCACCATCTCTAAAAGTGTTAATATCAGTATTCCAACAAAAAAGACAAATCCCTGTTGGTATTGGCCACGCATGGGAACCACTGCTAAATGTGCTGAGTGACATCAAAGCCACATAAGCATCATGGGTACTACCTCAGAAGTTCATACAAGTTTCATCAGAGGAGAAACAATAAAATACACTCTAATGTAGTTTGATCTTTTTTTTATTTTAACTAATAAATCTACTAAAATTTAATTTGCCACTACCGTGCCAAAAACAAACACTTTAAATATTTAATGAATTAATTCAAAGACAAAGTATTTGTTTCAAATCTGGAGGCACACTCCACCCTCTGGTGAAGCATCTCTCTAATGGGGGAATGAATATGCTGAAGGAGGCAAACAGCAGCCCACAGCCTCCCCAGACAAACACAGGAGTTAGCAGAGACAAAGGGCCGCGGTGCAGAAGGAGCTGACCACTACAACTTTGCTGCTATGGATTTTGTCACACTTTCACTTTGCATTTATTTATTAATTTGTTTGTTTGTTGGTCCGTTGGCTATTTATCAAGCGTTGGGAGGATCGTGTCACAGACGGTTTTTGGGGGACTAACTTTTAACTATTGTCTCGCTATTTGTTTCTCATACCAGTGCTTGTTTTGCAGACCCATCATTTAACCTGCTGTGAGCAATGCTAGAATTACAGTGATCGTTTTACCCTCATTAAACAAAAGTACTATAAAAACTATACTGTAATCTAATCTCACAGTTTGACTTCAGTGTCAAAGACCATCTGTACCGCAAACTGACCAATAAGAATGCTGTATGTCTTACATGTGCTTCCTGACCAGAAGTACACACTGGTACCACACCCACCGTCACTGCTGTGTGTACGCACACTCTGTTGTGATTTCCAAGGATTTTTTTTTTATTTAATTATAATTAGATAATAATTGTGGATGTTTTTTCAGTGATTATGTGCAAGTTTGCCAAAAAGAAGCCTGTTTCATCATCATCAAAACATTCTACACTTAATTTTTATTTTATAAACATTTTGCTTTTTTACCTAACTTTTATATTTTATTTTAACTTTTTTTTTTATTCGGACAAGGCTATTTATAAGATGATGTTTAGCTAACACTTTTTGTTTCTATTATTGCTAACTTCGATAGCCAGGAGGTTAGCCCCTAAATTACTATCTGTGTTTCACTAGATAAGCTTAACTGTAGCACATTAACATTTAAAAAAAAAAAAAACATTGTTATTCTCATTTACCTTCACTGGACCAAGAAAAGCTGTAATTTTGCTAGAAATGTCCAAATGTGTGCATCTTGTCTGCTGGACTGAACAGAAACATGTGCTAACACACACAGCATGTTTGTACATCACACTGCTCTACACTCCAGCAGGAGCAGTCGGCCCTCTGCTATTTTCTCCATAACCTCTTCACACCCACATAAAAGTGTAAAACAGAAATAAAATCTGTCACTGACAAAGAGTAGATTAAATCTATTTAAACACATAAGGTACAAAAATAATACGAGGCTAAAATGCCAGCGTCGCCAGTGGGAATAACAAAGAGGATTTTACCAGGCCAAGCTCTGGCTGTGCATCACAAACACTAAATCTGATCAAAGGCCGTGTAACTCTTTCCAACAAAGATTTTCTCTTTGAGCCACGCTCAACTTTCCAATTAGCTGCCATGACATTGTAATTGGGCTGCACAGCCTTGATTGGGCCTGGAGGCCTGTTGACGAACACTGATAGAGGCTGAACCAGGCCAAGCTGTAATTGATATTTTGAAGAGGGAAGGAGAAGAGTGTGTGTGTGTGTGCGTGCGTCCTCCCTCGTGGTATGCGTTGATTAATTTCTGCTCATCAATGTGCTGCTCAGTCTATGATGTTCAGACCCTATTTTTTATCCTAATGACAGTTTATTACATGTTTACAATACAATATCCAAATCAATTCAGCACACACTTTTCTAATCCCTGTCCCCTTTTGTCTCTGTGCTGTGCTCTGCCAAAACAAAATAAATGTGTGCCACGGAATTTGCTAAGCCTAGTGTGGAGCACAAACAATGGATTTTACACAGTGGGTTGTTGCGGGGGCTGCACAGGAGCCACACGGGCTGTGTATATGTCCACAGATCTAAGCTGGTTGTGATTGATCTTTCCCCTCGCTATTAGATTGGTATTGATGTGCCAGGAGGACAGATGGCCACACCTACAGCCAGGGTCACACTTCAGAAGCTCAAATTTAATCGAAATAATAATACATTTTTTATGATCAAGCTGCACGGAGGTTCGGAAGTGAGCGAAGAGTTGCAGGGAGTGTGCAGGGTAACATTAGGAGGATGCGTTTACAGCCGGCGTTTACGAGTCTGCCCTAAAACACGCTGCGCACGTGGTGGGAACTGGGAAACATAACGGCAAAACATTTTCTGTTTAAGGTCCAGAAGCTTCCACACAAAGTTCATCTGACTCCAGGCTGGGTCTCAGCCAAGGAGCCCACGTTTTAATGGGAGACGTTGGAGCATTCTTTTATCTCTGTGCAGCATCTGTTACTAAACACTGCAAATCACAAGGACTTCTTCTCCTCTCACTATGAAGTGGGACACGCATGCAAGGCATTTGGAATTAAAATGAAATAAAAATTTAAAAAAGCGGCTGAAAAAAACATGACGCCTCATAGATGCTGGAGCAGAAAATAATAGCAGGCCTCTGCTACGGATGACGTCACCACTAAAGACGATTGATAGCAGATGGTGAGACAGACAGGCCGAGACGCAGGCAGACAGACAGATGGACAGACAGACAGATAGATGTGCAGCAGTGTAAGAGAAGCGGGCAGAATTAAAGAGACTTTTTTGTGGCGTTTAATATCCATTCATTGGCTGGACTGCTGACACAGTGAGAGCACTGCGCTCAGGATTTATAGCCACTTCTAATGGGCATGCCCAGAACCAAAGCACTGCAGTCAGCACATTCTCCCTCTCTGAACACACACACACACACACACACACTCATACACACATAGCCAGCTGTCCCCCACTACACATACACACGCGCACACACACGCACACACACGCACACACACCACACACAGGTCTGAGTGAATGCATCAGTAAACCCACTGGATGTGGGAACATACATTCACACAGATGCAGTGGTTTTCATGTGTCGGCCTGCAACAAAACAAGAGGTATACACACACACACACACACACACACACTGACCTGCCCAGCTGGGGGTCTCCATGTACAGCTGACTGGTCTGAAAAGAGAGACCTTTGTGCTGCCCTGTTAGACAAGCAGAAAAAAGGGGGAAAAAGGTTAGACATCAGAGATACATTTTAACTTCAAGTACGAGACACACACACACAGAGAGAGAAAGAGAGAGAGAGAGAGAGAGAGAGAGAGAGGTGAGTATTTGATGCTTATATGTTCCATGGCTGTTATACATCAGTACATAGTCAGTCAGAATCTGTCGTTATTAAACTCATCAACTTCAGTGATTGTTCAAAGTATTGGCAGTACCAGGGAGTATCGCTGCAGTACTAACAGAGTTACTGCAGTTCTCTGAATCACTCTTTTTTTTTTTTTTTTTTTTTGTATTTCTGAAAACGAAGCGATCACACGTCTGATCAAACACACGATTAACGGCTGTTCAGAATGCAGTGGTAAAAACTCCCCTCCACAGAGTAACCGTGGGACCCCCGCTGTTGACACTGAAGTCCCACTTTAGAGACACACACACACACACTTGAGTCGTCCACTTAAGAGGCCCTTCAGCCGTTCTAAGGAGGTCTCACACCACAGAAGACACTCATTCTTCACCAAGACAAACACACACACACACACACACTATCAGGCCGACTGAGAACCATGTGAACCAGGCAGACACTCTGAACTTTGAAATATAGATGATAAAAAAAGAAGTGTCCGACTAAGACACAGACTTTGGTGGATGTTCCTCGTCACTGTTTAAGGAACTTTCTTTTTCCTGGTTGTGTTGCAGCCATTCATTTTTAACATTCACATTCTAAATATGATTTAATTTACATGGTGCAAAAACAATATTAGGGAAAAAAAGTGTATTTCAGTGTCTTTGGTCACGTCGGTCAGACAGATTAGAGATTAGGGTTAAATCAGACTCTAGATTAAAGCAGTTGTCAATGTGAGCTCATCTATCCAGTTCTTTGGTGGACTGGTCTAAACAGACTCTGTCTGTGTGAGGTCTGTTGGAGAAACACGTCATTGCATATCTCTGTACCCCTGCCCTCCTCCAACATTAGCTTGAATGTGTTATTAAGGAAAACTTTATTTCATTTTCCAAAGTTGAACAAACAAGTTTAACAAGATTACATTTAATCTGGGACAGAAAGAAATCTGAATAATTTATTTGATACTTTACTTTCTTTATTTGTTATATTTTTGTTGTTATTTATCAACATAATATATATATATATATATATATATATAGATATATATAACACTGTATCTCTCCTACAACTTTAATTGTTTTGTAAGTGTGTTAAAAGTGAAAGTGAAAGTTGACGTTTTAGATTTACATCAAAGCAGATTTGGACCCATCTGTGAAACCGGAGCAGTGGGCTGCAGTCTGCCTCTCCTGGGGAGTAGGAGGGGAGTTTTGGTGCTTGCTCAACACAAAATGAACCGACAACCCTCCACTCACGGACCTGATCTGTTACCCACTTCACTACAAGCACCATAAACCTCCAACAGAGTATTTGGTGTTTGCCTGATTTAAAAGCGTTACTACTCATCCCATTGATGTTTTCAACAAAAAGGGAAGTCGAACCCACACACCTGTGACAGAGCAGGAACTGGACACTGACAACTGTTACTACATTAGAATACCTTGTTACTTAGTACTGTAAACAGGAACTACATCAATTACACTTCAGTCAGCTCAGCAGTGACCGCTGTGACGGACTGTCGTCAGCCTCAGTCCAGGCTGTTAGAAAAGTCATCTTGTAGTTTCATTAACATCTGCGGCAGCAGCAGCAGCAGCAACGTCATAATATACTGTGTCACCACACACACACACACACACACACACAAACAGTAACAGAGATGCACTCCCAATGCACAGCAGAAGAGAGAGCGAAGGAAAAAAGGAAGAAAAGAAAGAGGGGAAAAATGACTTTTTAGGAGAGCTCCTGTAGCCAAACAGCAGCTGTGACAACGCTGCTGCTGCTGCTGCTGCTGCTGCTGCTGCTGCTGGTGGTGGTGGGACTGGGCGGGGCGGCACCTCTGACTGCTCTCTGCTGTATTATGGTAATTAATGGGGTGTAATGTTGGAGCTAGGCCTATTCTGATTAAAAATGCATGCGGCAAGCAAAGAAGTGTGTGTGTGTGTGTGTGTGTGAGCATCCCTTAAATGGTTGGCATTAATGTGATCTATAGTACCGTCCTTTGTGTGTGTGTGTGTGTGTGAGAGTCAGGCATGACTGTGATGGTTGCTTTATCTTCTAATTTGATAATAAAAAAGGTCTAAGTGGAGGAAAAACACAAATGAGCGCAACAGTTAAGAGCACGGAACCAAACAACGGAGAACACACTCAGGAAAAAGAGGAGGAACAAAACAAAAGCTAACAAAGGAGGGCAGTGGAACGGGAGTCCATGGATGAGACGAGAGGAAAAACAAAATGGATGGAGGAAAAAAAAGCAGCAGCCATGAGCAGCAGAGGGGGTAAAAGAGCAAGAGTGAAGCAGTAATGAATCTGTTCTCAATAATAATAGAGTTCATTCAGCAAACAATAGCAAACAGATAATTAGCTGTCAACAGGACGCATCATATCAACTTCATCTTCCACTCGCAGCCAACGCACACGCCACGTGAACACACCATTTAACAAATATAGACTAAATGTCCACGGCCCGTGTATTTATCTTTCTCAAATCACACGCACACACACACACACACACACCAGATAACGTTGTTGCTCTGTTGTGAAGACATTATCATTGCACTACATTAAGAAGCGCTCATGCTCTCCTCCCGACTTTCATTATTAAGGTTGGAAAAATCCAGAAAGCAGGACACTGAAACACTGCAGTCAGCCCAGACTCCCTGCTTAAATCAGGTCCGGGACTCAGGAGAGGAAAGTGTGTGTGTGTTTGTGTGTGTGTAAACAGTAAAAAAAAAAGTGGGAAAGGCATAACTTCATTTTGGCGCAGAGGTTTAAAATGCAGCATGTTTCCAGTGAGACTGGAAAGTCACCCAAACACATCTCCAGAGTCTCTGAGAGTTCCACAGATGTATGGCTTCTCACTTCTCACTGTCTTCACCTTCGCTATGTGAAAAACTGAGCTGACATCAGATCACCTCATCATCCACATATACACCTGCTTTTAGGAAGTTCAACCATAAAACTACTGCATTTTATTGACTCTTGTGAACCTGAACAGACTTTAAAACTGGGGCACTATTTATAATTCACTGCAAAATAAATAAATAAATCAACAAATTCATCTTGTTTTTTTCTTCGTTTAACTGGAAAATGTTAAAAGAAGTCAAATAGGTAAAATAAGTTTTAGATTTTTTTTCCCTGTGACAGACTAAAAGACTGGAGACATATTTGAGACTTATCTAACACAAACACATATATACCTATATATGTAAATATATAGACATTTACAGTATATATACATGCACATATATACAGTATGTGTATATATGAAGAAAATAAATTGTGCCTTCCTGTAACACACTCCGAATAAGTTGCAACAAATATAAAAGAAAAAGTAAGAAATTCATGCTAATAACATTTTGTGTTTTCTAAAATCAGCAGAAGACTCTGAGTCAAACATCATATATATTATAAGAGGATCGCCCACCAAGTTTGAGTTCTATATTTAAAATATAAAGTAACATGAAATGAGTTATGAGACAAATATTATTAGAAACCAAATGAGATCAAACACTAAGTAATTGTTACGGCTTAAATAAAAAACAACTCTCTTCAACAAGTAGAAGTCTGCAGCAGATCCAGGCTCAGTCTTCAGCCTCTGCCTCGGCAGAGTGAAAGGGGGGGAATGGGGGAGAAGGCAAAGGGGAGAGAAAGAAGGACGGGTGGAGGAGAGAGCAGCAGCAGACATACAGTACTGTGCTACAACCTAAGTACAGGCACAAAAACTGTTAAAGTGCAAACAGTACATTTGTAGGAACAAGTATATGAGTGGTACTAGGTGTTAAAGTAGAATTTCTTAATTATAAATAACATAATGAATAATGACAGAACCGTCAGGTCTGGATCAGGTTCTGTGGTTGTGGAGCCACAGGAACCTGAGCGATGAAGACGGTGACAAGGAGGGAAATGTAACTGGTCCGAACCTGTTTGAACTGAAGTTGACTTCCTAACTCTAGGAGATTCCAGAAGAGAATTCTTTATGGAATCTGATCAATAAGTACTGATGATTGAAATAGTAAATCCTTACTGTAGATTCAACTACAGTAATATTCCTGCAGAAGAAAATCTGTGTAAAGGACGGAGGTGGAAACAACTGCTGAATGAGCATCAATTGGAGTATTCACTGCATTGGCAACTGTCATGTTACTACAAAAAAAAAAAAAAAACCTAAGTACTCCCACAGAGAATCTCTGAGAGACAGCACTGACAGCTCATCTGTCCAGTCATGTGACGTGTGCACACAGCTTGTCAAACATCAACACTGACCAACATTCATTCGTTCCTTCACGTTGAATAAACAACAACAACTTGTTTATGGAGCTGCACCTCCGCCCGGCCCAGGCCGACTGTGACCGCTCCGTCACAGTCGGCCTGGCTTTAAAGCAACACACTGGCTGGTTAAAAACACAAACACAAATGATCCATCGAGGTGTTTATTTGCATATAGAGTGAGGTTTCATCAAGTGTCCCCCGGAGACTCATGTGGGGACGCATTCTAATGCCAGGTGTGGACACACGTACTCAGAGCCGTCCACTGGGGACGGGATCGCCCGGGACCGGAGTGTGTGTAAACTGGGTGGTGTGTAAAAACTTTATGACGCTCATCTTTCTAAGTGTTGTGCTTGTGATGCTCGATGAGGCTGACAATAGTAAGGGAAGTTCCGGCCCATTTGTTTTCCAGATTTAAGTGTGTTGCAATCGCTGTTGTGCCTCACGATTTACTGTTCGCTGGAGACCGTGTGTTTTGCACAATCAGTGCTGTCAAAAATTTTATAATCGCCAGTGATGCAATCAAACCAAAGGCCCTGCCTCCGCCTCCTGCTGCAGCACTATGAATAGACCCAATGATTAGGATCACAAACC